TATATATATATATATATTTTAAATTGCCTTTATTTCTAATCGATGTGAAAATTCCAACAAGATTTTTTTAAATACATAATTTTAGTTTTAATAGCTAGATACACTTGTAATAACGAATAAAATTACAACAAGGACAAAATAAAAAAATTTCTAAAATACATATGTGCTGGATGGTTTTGACAAAGTGAAATCCTTGTTGTCTATTGATTTTGCAATTTTTATTGTGAAAATGGTCAATACTACACTTATAGGATTGTTATATTATTTTCGGGTTATCTGAAATTTTCTTCTTTGAATTTGCACAGGTTAGAGCTCAAACTTCTGTCAAACTAGTAGAATTTGATTTTCCAACTGTCTCCAATATTTTCCCAGCCCAGCAAAGTAGGGACCACAATGGTATCTACTACATCTCAAAGTCTTGGATGACTACAAAAGAGCCACTCAATATTTGGAGTAAGAGCAGTTTCACTGTTGAAGGTATATGGGAGCACTTAAATGTGACAAAGGATCAATCTGACTATCTTTGGTATTCAACCAGGTCATTATTCCCTGCTGAATACTCTGCAATGATACCAAATGTATCACATTATATATTTTTTGGCTTGTTTTACTTTCACTATATGGTACATGCGGTCTGTATTATGCCTTACTTTTATTAAAATGAATGTTTTATGTGTTATCTGTGTTCTTTTAGATAAAGAGGAATTCACTATAGCTATAGGTTTGAAGGACCAACTTTCTTGAAAACTTAAGGTTTTAGGTGAAAGGTCACAGAGTGTTGAAGCATGGAGAATGGAGAGGCACACACTACTGGCTTAAGTTTAGCTTTTTTCATTACAATGGCAGTAACAAACTACTTGGTCATAGAAGGTTACAGTGTCAACGACTAACTTTACTAAAAGTTGAAGTTAGATGATGGCTTATGAATGATTTTATTTCTAACAAAAGAAGCATGACAGATTATGGAGAAGATATCTTCTATACAGTTTTCCGTTTGTATATCTGCCAAAGGAATTCCATCGATGGAAACATGATTTGAATTCCATAAAGCTGCAATAAAATAAACAAAAAATTCATCAAAATTTAAAGCATTTTTAAATGTTGATTCAATGGTTTTCTAATTATTTTTTCATTAATGTGTATATAATGCAGAATATCCGTTTCTGACAGTGACATCTTGTTTTGGGAGGAAAATGATGTCCGTCCAAAACTTACAATAGATGGTGTCCGTGATATACTGCGAGTATTTGTCAATGGCCAGCTTATAGGTAACTGTAGTATTATTTCTTCTGTTTTAATCGAAGTTCTATTCTGGATAATGCACTTTATTATGCAACTTCCGTAGAAAGATTCTTGGAAGGAATCTTAGCATGTGCATTTTTGTTTTGAAGTTCAGCGATGCTTGGGAAAAATAACACACGATCTAGATAGTGTTTGTCTGACACATCAGAGGAATTATATTATGTACAAATGGTTTATTTGTGTTTATTTATATTAGATATATGATTTGAATATAAAATGCCCCAAATTCCAAAATAAAACCTGAGTGGTCATGATAGAAATATCCTTCTGGAAGGCTAGTAACCAACAGCTCGGCTAGTAATAAACGAGAGAACCAAAATATAATTAAGGGCATAACAACCTCGGTTCCTAGAAGGGGGAGCAGTAATGGATGAATAATTTATTCCCTTCAAAACAAATTATAAATTACTATGAAATTGAAGATAATTACTCCAAAGTATAAAAGAATTATAAATTAACCGATGTAAATATAATGACATTTGTGTCACAGATGCATGACAATTTGTGAGAAGAAAATAAATTAACAATTTGTAAAACGTTTAAAAGGTGCATAGTAAAATACTATATAGGTTTAGCTACATGAGAGAACCAAAATGAGGTGGCTCCAGCCTTCTGGAGGGCATTGTGTCTCCTCAAGAAGATGGTGATTTAACAGACAAGTCTTTCTACTCTCTAATTAATTATTATCATCTATCTTGTCATGTCATGTCATGTCATCGAGGGGTAACCCTCATCTATAGCTCATGCCATGCACAGGTGGCTCCATTCAAGGGTAGCCTTCTTCTGAATCATATGACAAGGTCCAAACCAGCAATTACCCCCCTTAATATCTACGAAATTACAACACATAAATCATAGAGTTTTTCTGTTCAAATCAAATTTATTGCAAATGATCAGTGTATCATTCTCATAATTTTCATATACTGATGCCACTCAACACATTTGAAATAATTTTACCTTTAACAGTTAAACTAAAAATGTATAATATTTGCATCTCTGTGTGTTCAAATAAGATATGAAAGACTTGTTTCCCACACAAAAGATATTAAATGATGATTCTATGATAAAATAATTAAAATAGGAACAATAGAAAGAAGAAATAAAATAGAAGCTATTCATCATGATCATTACAATCTTACTAAACCACTCTTTAGAGAACACCAGATCCAGTGAGTTAGTATTCCAAGAATATGAAATATACCTTTATAAAAATATGCTAAAAATATATTTTTTCAAATTTGTAGATTGTGGTTATACCACAATAATAATTTTTTAAGGACTAAGTAGTGTCATTGTCTCTATAAAGCACTATCCCTAACTTCAGACAATGGGTCCCCCATCTTTTCAAAACAAAGCATCAGTTGTATCATAATTGTTGTGCTTTAGAGGTTTAATATTTATTTCTTTTGTTTATATATATTCATGTAGTTTAATTTCTTGTCCAAGTGAAGGTAATGCTGTTGGTCATTGGATCAAGGTGGTCCAGTCTCTTCAATTTCTCCCAGGATACAATGATTTAACACTGTTAACTCAAACAGTGGGTTTGCAGGTGAAATTCCTGATATATTTTTGACATTTATCCTTTTGTTTAATGCAAAACTTATCTATTTTTCTAGTGTAATGTGTTGTGTAGGTGTATGTCGATTGCTTAATTTTCATAATTCATACACTGATAGTGTATTTGATCAATCAAACTAGTTCATTTCGATAAGATGTATATTAGTAATGACAGAAGAATTGAAGAGCATAATGTCAAATATTATGCCTACGTAATGATGGAAATATTAATTACATCCACTTGTCTATTAATTATTGCATTTTATTATAATTTATAGTTGGGGTTTATTTCTACCTTGCAAAAACAGTTTCTAAAGTGAGGTCTATCCAAACATTGCAGTCGTTACTAAATCCTTGTGTCTAGTTGAGGTGGAACTATATCCACCCATCAAACCTATCACAATGAAAGTACAAGACATATATTAAGGCGGGCCCAGGGTGTTGTTAATAAAGGCACATTCCAACATAGTTTTTATCTGATACCTCTATCGTTATATGGTTTTAGTTATGTTATTCTTGAGAAAGAGAATGAATTTTATTATTTTCATTCATGTCTATTATATTTTCCTTATCTCTATTTATAATAATCTAATCTTCTAAAAAAGGAAAATAAGAAAACAATATGCCGAAAAATAAACTAGAAGATTTTATAGATATTTTCTCTAATTAAAAAGATTTTATAGATATTTTTTCTAATTAGGAAGATTTTCCTCTAATTACAACAGTTATGCTCTCTAATGTGTTCGCATTAATATGAACAGGATATTCGTGTTCATCGTTATGTGACTTTTCTTTAGCATATTCTCCTATAAAACAATTGAGGGATAGAGATTACTAACTATACGTATATTCTCATTTGAAACAATATTGCAGAATTATGGTGCATTTATTGAGAAGGATGGAGCAGGGATCAGAGGTACAATAAAGATCACTGGATTTAAAAATGGAGATATAGATCTTTCAAAATCATTATGGACCCATCAGGTATGTATATAATATTTAAACCCTGTACTGATACCAAATAACTATATGAAATATTAGCTGTTTTTCAGAGGAAAATATTACTAGGTCTACGAGTAGTACACTACAGCTTTATTCTGAAAGATTTAGCAAATACACAAGCCCAATGCACATGCTTTCTCTATCTGTCGTTTCTAGATGGTTTCTTATTGAATTTGGATACTACAATTGACCTTCTAATTTAAATGATCAACTTTCAAATATTTTCTAGGGTGAGTCAATCAGTTAGTTACACACAAAGTGCTATTACTTGATGTACATAAACTAATTACGAATACTCTAGCTGAACTCTTTGTAAATAAACCTGTGTGCACCTATTAATATTCAAGACTATTTCAAAGATAATTAACACCAATTCGTCAAATCAATTTACAAGAGAAAAATGAAGATACCAGTACTTCCTAAGATGCATTGAACTTAGCTATACAAAGCATCTAGGCTCATCTAAGCTACCTGCTAAAATAAACATTAAAAAAGCTCTTATATCCACATATTTTCCCATTTCGAACAATATTCCTGTACAAAAATAGGATTTTGAATATTAATTTTCTCTTACATGCTCTTGTAGGATTAGGTTTTAAAGTTTTGCCTGTTTGAGGCTTTTTTGTATCTTTAAGGATTTCAACCTTCTCATGGTAAGTCTGATAATATAATTTTGGAAAACAAAATTCTCAGTTTTGATTTTGTATGAGTTGGTCATTCTAGTTCTGCCTTCACTCCATAGAAATTTAAAATGCTACTTTAGTGGTGTGCTTTCTAGATGTGTGCTGGTTTGATTATCTTTATTCGAAGCTCATTTAGTTATTCTATACTTTTCATCTTATGTACTTACATTCTATATTTGTGGAATTGTACTTTATATATTATGAGGAATTTGAAAATATTGGTTCCACTTTATTTGATTTTATCCCAGGTTGGGCTGCAGGGCGAGTTTTTAAAACTTTACAGTGAAGAGAATGAAAATTCAGGGTGGGTAGAATTAACCCCTGATGGCATCCCATCCACATTTACATGGTACAAGGTAATTATGATCTGTCGAAGTGATTTCTATGTGAGAACTGTTGTAGAGTGAAAGAAAATAGGCTTAATACCACTTATGGTCCCAATTTTTGTTAGCTTTGTTTAAAATGGTCCTAATTTTTTTTATGTTTAATGTAGTCCTAAATATCGTAATTTATGTTCAATTTAGTCTTTTTTTTGCAAACGTCGTTTAAATCGTTAACATCACATCACCAATCAGTGAATTACATGACACTTATTGGCTAACGTGGCTAGTACTATAGTTGACTAAGGATGGTCATGCCAATGAGGGCTTGACTTGTGGCAACCCCTTTCTTCACCCAAAAATTAGGGTTTCAGATTTGCATCGGCAGATTGGGAAAAAGCTTGGTCGATTGCTGCCACACGAGAATAGGGTTTCTCCTTCATGGCGGATATGGTGAACTTCGTGATAGTTGGTTTGCTTCTAGGTTTTTATCCTGTAGGTGAATGAAGAAGGCGCGGTGGAGAAGCTTGCGGAGAGGCGCTAGTGCGATTTGGGTTTGCGTTAGCGATTTGGATTTTGCTCGCGAGAGGTTGATGATGATATTGGTGGCTCTTCACTGTTGCGGCACGAATCGCGCTTCTAGTTTGAAGGAAATTTTTGGTTCTGTGGGTTTTGATCTTCTGTTTTTCAGGTTGGTGGTGGCTGGTGGAGAATGAAGAAGCTTCACGATGTTGCTTAAAGGTGCGAGGAACTCGCGATTCGGTTTCGCGATGCTTGTGTTGGAGCGTTTGGAACAACGACGCGACCATCTGGTTAGGGTTTTGAAATGTCTGATGATGGAGGTGCGAAGATGGTGGTTGGCCGTGAGCGTGGCAGTGGCGACTAAGGTTTCTATGTAGGGGAAAATTATGGTTTATGGAGGTAGGAGATGATGATGATGATGTGTCAAGGGTGATGTGTCACTAATTGCACAATTGGATATTTGACCGTTAACGATTTAAACGGCGTTTGCAAAAAAGACTAAATTGAACACAAATTACAATGTTTAGGACTACATTGAACATAACAAAAAATTAAGACCATTTTGAACAAAGCTGAAAATAATTGGGACCATAAGTAGTATTAAGCCAAGAAAATAAAAAGGGAAAAGAGCCTACTAGTTGTTTACATTGATTTTGTTATAAATATCAACTCATTCATGAACCTCCACGAGGACTTAAGCCCCTTAGAATGTTGGTTCTTGGCATGATATTAGCGCCTCTATGACCAAGTTAGAAGTTTCATACTAGCTTCCCTCTTTTTCTCTTGAGGAAGCTTAGTTTAAGAATGCCAGAATACTAGAACAAAATATTTTAAAAACAAGAATCATGCAAAATGATTAAGATAATTTCTGTTATGCTGATAATTGTATTACCTAATTTTTACTATGGTAGACAAATTCATGAGTGACAGATAGGGCATATGGTCAATGATTATAAATTTATGCACAGGCGTATAGTCATTGATTAAAATAATTTTTTGTATTTAATTGTAATTGAAATACTCTATTAAAACAAGAAAATTAAAATTTCAATAAATTTGAATTTTCTTGTCCAAATAAAAATGTAACAATGAATTGAAAGCTATTCAAGTTCAATGAATTTTAATTTCCTATTCAATCACACGGTTATAGTGTGATAGGGAAGTTTTTGGGGAAGAAGTTTTCATTAGGAATTTAAAAATTTAAGGATGAGATTTTTGTTGGTTGGATCAATTCTCTTGTGGCTAGTGGACATGTTACAATTGAATCATAGTGCTTAAGTTGTTATGCTCTTAAGTAGAAAGAGTTACATTTTGACAATTACTTATAATTTTTAGCATAGTGGTAATTGTTTGATTGAACAAGGTTGAAAGTGTATTAATCAAGTAAATACTAGTTATCAAAGCATGATCCATAAAATTGTAAGGAAGCATAGATTGAACAAGGAATGTGAAACCATGTTCAACCCCATGTATGTGCTTTCTTCCAACAACACCATTTTGATGGTGTGTGAGAACAACACCATACTAATGGTGTGTGAGAGCAAATTAATCTATGATTAATGTCCAGTTGATTGAGATATTGAGTAAATGGACGAAACTCACCACCTGAGTCAATTTGAAAAGTTTTTGAAGATGCATGAAAGCCAAAACCCTAAAAACATTTAAGGCCTAACATTTGGCTTTCAAAAGATAAATTAAGTAATTCGTGAATAATAATCAACAAAGTTTAAATAATATAGAAGAAGCTCAAGAAGGATGTGTAAACAATAGAAGATGACAAGTTTTTGCACATGTGGACTAGAATGACCTAGATATGAATGCCTCAAATGGAAAATATTTAGAATTTGAACAAGATTTTATACAATCAGTTTTGTATTGCAAACTGAAACAGTACAAAACAGTTGAGGAGATCGACATTGCTGCAACTGAGTTGGGGAACTGATATGACCCATCCACGCCTAGAGAGCCTTCAAACAGCACTTTTAACTGTCTTGTGATATTACAAGACAAAATGTTGGACGTAATTCAAAAATGATATTATTATCACGTGCATAATAGTGACTAACAATCATTCAGTTCTTCTATGTTGAAGAGACACCAAATTATGGGAGAGCGACATTTTTGGATTGCTAGTAGAAGAGAAAAGAGTAGAACCTAGTGTACATGATAAAACTTAGTGCACAACTCACACTCAAGAAGGTACACTTTTCACAACTATAGCCACAATTGATAAGTGGGAAATGCAAGTCCACGACTGTCGTTAAGTAATAATATTGAATTGATAAGAACCACGTGTTTGAATTTGTAATTATCACAATTTAATATTATTTAAAATGAAAAGAAATTAATTGAAATTCAATGTTGATTTTGAAATAAAGAATTCAAGAAAAAAAAAATCAAGAATTGAAATAATAAGCAAATTAATTGGGATAAAATTAATATAAGAAAACCTCCAGGATCAGGATCCGCACCCAGGATTCCTTTTAATTTAATTTCTTACCCAGCTATTGATTCTCTTCGGAGTTGAACTCACCTAAGGTAGCCTATATGTTCCCTCCCCCGGACAACGGAAACATATAAAATTAACCAAACCCTTGGGTAGCTATATTTAATTAAACCCATTAAGTATTTTGATAATTTACTGATTTTTCGAAGAATCAAACTTAATGTCGTGATTTAATACCTTAGTCTCTCCCCTGTAAAATATGTGTCTGCAAAACAAGCAAGGCTTAACCTGTACTAAGAAAAATTGGAAAATTAGAATAAATAAGATTGAAAATTGTATAGTAAGGTACCTGAGACGAGCGGTTTACATCCATATCCAATAACGATCGCTCTATTCACTGAGTTACAAGCACTAGCATCCGCCATCCAGTAAGATCGCTCTATCCGCTGGCGCTCGTCAACCCAGATCAAACATGCCCCACGCACGTTAAAAGTCAAACCGGATTTACTCAATCAGGTCAATCTAGGTTTAGCGCTCGGTCAAGTTAAACGATGTTGGGCCATGGCCCAACATTTAAGTAATTGGACTGATAGTCCACCAGAAGATAAAATAGTCTAAAAGATCTGATTAAAGATATGAATGACGCGGATTACGGGAAACTGACCGGATTTTAAGGTAAACTGTTTAAGGTAAGTCTATTACAAATTTTATTAAGGTTAAATACAGGAAAGAAAAGGAAGACCAGGTACGTTCTATTGAATACTGAAAAATACTCTATTGTGAGGATAATATCTTTCCTTGAGAGCTGAGGCTCCATAACCCACATCTGTCTTGAGCGTCGGAGTATCTCCGCAGGTACCCCCCTCTGTTGAAGTGGACGAGTTGTGGAAGCGGATGGAATGTGAATGATGTCTAGAAAGGTGAACAAGTTACATCAGCTAAGGAGAAGTAAGCGTTCCAGACATTTAGAAGCAGCAAAGACACACCAACAAGGTCCGTATCTCGATCCCAAACATCTATACCGAAACATTTTGGCGCCCACCGTGGGGCCGAGATTTGGAGATCCCCAATGTTGACCACAAGAACTATGGAAGAAAACTACACCAGAGATTTGATCAGGGAACTACAAGCCCAGATAGCGGCGCAGGCGAAAACCATAAAGGAGCAGCAGGAGACTTAGCACAAACAAGCAGAGGAAATTGCAACGTTAAGAGCGCAACGACCTCCGCCTGAGGTGTCCGCCTCAAACAGGCAGGGAGATAATGAAGGTAGCCGTCATGGGGGGCGATCTATGCATACCGAACTTGGCGGGGAGGGAAGAAGGGGACCCACACCCCTTCGGCTCATCAATCTACTTCCGTTTACAGAAAACATCATGTAAACTGCTATGCCCGAAAAACCTCCTCCAACATTAGAAAGATACCACGGCTCACCGGACCCAGATAACCACCTCAAAAACTTCATCAATGCGATGGCATTCTACACGGATAGCGACCCAGTCATTTGTCGAGCTTTCTCCTTGCCTTTGAAAGACGAAGCATTGGAGTGGTACCATACCCTCACTCCAAATACGATAGATTGTTTCGCCACCGTGGAAACTTTCTTCAGAACACAGTATGCCGCCAACAGAAGGCAGGAGATGACGCCGGCAGAGTTGGTAAACACTAAACAGGAGAAGGATGAAACCCTGAGAGCGTTCATGCAGAGGTACAACGAGGCTGCAAGACGAGTGAAAGACCTATCCAGAGAGTTGGTCGACTAACTGCTTTGTCACGTTTTATCCCGAAATTTGCAGAACATATCAGACCTATCCTGAAGAATATGAAAAAGGGTATCACTCAACACTTGGACGACCAATGCGAGAAAGCTTTCGTTGCTGTCAAGGATATCCTCACCAGTCCTCCTATCATGGCCCGACCGACAACCGGATAAAACAATCAAACAGAAGAGGAGGGAAAATCATGTGGAAACCCAAAATATGGTGAGAAAAAGAGGAGGGAATTGAGCCCTAGTCTTCGTACCTTGCTCTAGACTCGATGAAAGAATCCAGAGAACCTTTCAATTGAATTCCAACTTGATAAGAAACTGAATTTTGTTGAAATAAAACTAGAAACTCGGTTGTCCGTTTTGTAAGTTTTACTTGTATATATGCAGTCACTGAGTATTTAGCCGAACAAGTAAAGACACAAACCACTAGTTGAGAGAGAAAAAGAAATAGCAGTAAACCACACCAAAATTTTATACTGATAGCTAGTATATAAGATCTGATACCATCTTCACAATTTTATCAGAGCTAGATGGGTCCCTGACTTGATCAAGGTTCTAGGTTAGTGGGTCACTGATGGCACCAATGGCTTGCAGCATCAACCTGTACAATAACATATACATAATTTTATACTAAAGAAATTGGATAAAACTTACTTTTGTCATCTATTTAGCAGAAAACCATCTTAGAGTAGTGGTTATCTTGCATTTATGTTACCCTTGGTCTTGGGTTTGAACCTGTCTCTCGACCAAAAGATTTTCTCCCACCATATTTAAGTAGCAACCAACAGAACAGCTAGGAGGGTGTGCAAGAGTAAATGTTTGGGTAGGCTAGTTTGTCAAATCTTCAACTGTAATGAATGTTATATGTGCCCAGGACAATTGAAGCACAGAATTTTGCAAGAGTAAATGTTTGGGTAGACCAGTTAGTGAATGTAGGATATTTGATGAGAAGCAGGTTTTGAAAGCTTCTTCAAAGTTTGTTTATGACAATCTTTCCAAGAAATTAAGCAGAGGAAGAATAAGATACGACTTTATGACTTCTATCGCAGACATTCTAACCAAAAAATATTAGACCTTTCAAATTAATTTTCAACTTGTTTTTTCTATCCATTTTAGAGGATTTGGGAGTGGAAAGAGTAGGGTACTATGAATTGTGGTTTCTGCTGGAGTATGGTGTATTGAGCTGGATTCAACTCCAGAATGTATTCTCAGAGAAGCCATCTTCCTCATTTTGTGGATAGACTTGTTTTCTTATATTACTTGGGGCTCATGGCCTTCCTGACAAAGTTTCCATGTCTGATGCTCAAACAATTGTTTTGACCTGATATAGTTCCCCTTTTCAATATTTGTGTGATCTATTTTAGGAAGACTCATGATTCCTGTGCATTTTACATTGTATTGTATATGTGTTTGCCTCTAAAAAATTGTTTAGTAATCTATGTATTGTAGTTATTATGCCCAACGCACTACTACAGAATTAGTGAATCTAAAATCATGATATGAATACTGGGATTATGAAGGTGCAAAGTAAGCCCATTGGTCATTCTCTCGTAATGCTATTTTTTTTTATAACACCTATTTATTTTAAGCAGGCATACTTTGATGTTCCTGGTGGCCTAGATCCAGTTGCTCTTGACTTGAAAAGCATGGGGAAAGGTCAGGCTTGGGTGAATGGTCACCATATTGGAAGATACTGGACTCGGGTTTCTCCAAAAAGTGGATGTAAACAAGTCTGTGATTATCGTGGAGCATATGATTCTGACAAGTGTTCAACAAATTGTGGAAAACCGACCCAAACATTGTATGTACTCTCGAAGTGGCTAAAACTGTTGGTTTCATGATTTCATCTAATTCCACAAGACTTTACTTACGAATTATAAATAGCCGCTCACGGCATCATTTATCTCATGTTGATTATGTACATTGTACACAAAGACTAATTAATTACTAAATGAGGAAAATATGTTCCAATGATATTTAATTAATACTGGTTTGTAATATAATGCTTCCTTTATTAAGTTTGTCATAATTATTAGAATGATTTTGAGGAGTATACAGCATTACTTCAGTACATTAATACGGGAAATTTCCAGTATTGTGCTTTCCTTAACTTCTGACTTATTGGTCTCCAGGTACCATGTGCCACGATCATGGTTGAGAGCATCCAACAATTTACTCGTTATCTTGGAAGAAACGGGAGGAAATCCGTTTGAGATTTCTGTAAAGGTACATTTGTCCAGCATAATATGTGCTCAAGTGTCAGAATCCAACCATCCACCTCTACAGAAGTTGGTAAATGCGGATCTCATTGGGGAAGAAGTTTCTGTTAATAATATGATACCTGAACTTCAGTTATATTGTCAAGAAGGACATACAATATCCTCCATAACATTTGCTAGCTTTGGTACCCCCCGAGGTGGTTGTCAGAACTTTTCTAGGGGAAACTGCCACGCTCCTAGTTCCATGTCAATAGTCTCCAAGGTAAACTAACTCTGTTTTGGATACCTTTTCACACTAGTCGTTGTCTAGCACCTCTGAAAAGTAAAATTGTTGACAGTTTTTATGCAAGAAAGCAAATGCTCCACAAGATTATGGCGTTGTGGACTTGGTAAAAGCTATGATGCAAGAAATTTTCCAAAATGCTTAACCCAATAATTTGTTTAAGTATTAACCCAATAATTTGTTTAAGTATTACAGTTAAAAGTTATTGTTATTATCGCTGGATAATCTCTAGGCTTAGAAAAGTAATGCTGCCACTATAGTTGTATTACGATTAGCGTTTTACGTCTTATTAGCTGCTGATTTGTAAAGCTTGAAGAGAGGTGGAAAAAAAAATGAGGCTAATAATAGTAGTAAGCATGTTGCCTGGTTTTGGTTGTAGACCCTCCTGACACTTTTAATATTTTGCAGGAATGTCAAGGGAAAAACAGCTGCTCCATCAAAATCTTAGATACTGTATTCGGAGGTGACTCATGTCCGGGTGTTGAGAAAACGTTGTCTGTGGAAGCCAGATGCACATCGTTATTGAGTGATAGTTTCTTTCAAGAGGCTGTAAGTAGCTCCTAAAATGTTGTTCGGTGTGAATCTAATGCATAAGTCAACCAACTAGATAATGGTGCTAACCTGAAAAGGTCCTTTCATTCTATTGTGTGGACACAATGATACTTCAATAAATGTCATTATTTAGTGCATAGTTCCTGGTCTTTAAAACATCTGTGAGCAAATAAGAATCCGTTGTAGGGTAGTGTTTAATGAAGTTTACATATTTTAAAAAGATCTCTTCCAACCTACAACATCTTTGAAACGGAAGGATTCCCTAGCAATAAAAAAGTACAAAAGATTGACCTTTACATCACTGGAACATCCATCCAACGTAATATTTTTAATCTTGAAATTGTAAAATCCGCATTTGTTTTTTCTCCGTTAAACCGCCTGGTTTTTTAAAATAATATATTCAAACAAGGTAATTTAAGGGCAATAGACCACAACAAATAAACAAATGTTACTTGAATTAAAAGTGAAATTTGTTCTTTTGAATGCATAGAAATGTACACGGTAAAAAGTAACAGTTTTTTTTCTAAAATTTTAAAAGTCATACTCAGCTTATAAAACAGGAGTGTTGCTCTCCACCACCACCACACACTGTAGTCTCTCTACCTCGTAAACTTTTCTTATTTTCAAAACTAACCTTATATAAATATTTATTTTTTACCTATTTTAATCTAAAATCTAAATCCCATTCTCATTCCCTTTTTTTTCATTGCTGCAGCACCCCCACACCCTCACATAACCTTCATTTCTCCCTTTCACTGTTTTCTTCCTTTCCTCCCTTAGCTTTCTTATTTTTTTTATTTCCGTTTTCTCCTCCATTTCGGTTGGCTTCCTCGCATCTTCATCCCACACAGTCGCAGGCCTATCGTAGACGAAAGCCCCAATGATTTCAACTTCTTCAAATACTCCTCGTCCAGACAACATGGTTGAGGCAGCGAAAAATAACACAAGAATTTACCCTCGTGCTTGCCCTTCTTCCTCATGCTAGAAAACTCTTGGAAGGAAGATCACTGCTTTGACTTTACCTCCAATGCATTTATTCATGTGCTCCACATCCAATATTCTCGTACTCATAATCCACCTTGAAGCTGGGAATAACCAGGACCCGGTTAAGGAGAGCCGCGAAGAACATGTGCTTCTGCAAGCACATCAGACGGTTAGACATCTGCCCCGAGACGCACAATGCAACCAAAAATTTATTAGCCTCAGGCCTTCACTCGATGGTCCTCCTTTCTCGCAGGTTCTGATCCACTATTCCACACGAGGCGTTCCGAAATAGAGAGGTGGCACGGGTGTAGGGACTGAGAAGAAGCTGCTGAATCTGTGAATTGAGGAAAATCTAGTTGGATAGAAGGGATTTGAGAGTGGGAGTTTGGGAAGTGGAATTGAGAGCGTGGAGAAGCCCTAATTGTTGTTGGCGCAAGAGGTAAAGGGCGCGCAATTGAGATTCCTCGGGTTGATGGTGGCGGAGATTGAGGTTGACGGAGGAGAGGGAGAAGAGCGAGTGGGAATCGGGGATGACGTAGTAGAGGAGGATTGCGAAGAGAGGGAGAATGGCGAAGAGGTATCTCTTCTGAAAAGGGAAGTTGATGTTGGAAGTGATTCGCGAAGTGAGGAGTTGGAAGTGGAAGGAAGAGGGAGACGTAGGCGCATTCCTATCCTTCCGATGGATGAACTCGTCTACTTCGTCAGAAGATGAATCCCTTTCCATTGCTGCCTGGCGGTGACCGGTCACCGGAGGAGGAGGAGGATGACTGTTGTCTTAGTGTCACAGTGGAAGTTGAAGGAAGGAAGAAAATAACGTCTTGTCTTGTGAACGAAAACGAGAGTGTTACTGAAGAAGTTTCTTAAACAAATATTCCATCCACGGATATTAACATAAACGGATCTCTTATCTCTTATCCTAAGCAGATATTTGGAGTGATTCTCCCTACATATCTCTGAATTCTTACATTGTCCTGAATACTTTACAATTTAAAAAAAAAAATGAAAGACTTTTTAATGAGATTATTTTTCAAAAATTGAAAGCCGAACCCTACACCCCCAAAATCCATTCCAATTTCCCCCCACCGCACTCCCTATATTGCTCTCTAGGCGGCTCTGTATGTAAAATATTAAATGCTTACAAGGAAATAGCATTAACCTTCAAAGAATTCTAAAGTCTTCCCAGGAAAATTTTCATGGTTAGCCAAACATTTAGACCAAAAATATATTGCCTAGAGAATAGTATTCACAGCGAGCTACTCTAGGGAACGTTATCTAACCCTTAAAAGTTGAGCAAACACACATGAAATAAAGGGTGACCGTGCTACAATATAATCAAAACTCACTTAAACATCAGTCTAGAGAGTCCAATACACAGATCAACGACAAATATTTGGCTGAGAAGACTTCCGCTTTGTGAAAGCAAGCAAGTTTTTTCACTTTAAACGTCTGATCTTTTTTGTCGCATTGATAATGTTTTGACCAATCTCTGGGTGTTTAAACTCCAACAATTTATGAAGTTTAATAGAAGCTTCAGAGAAACAGTTATCCTCAATACAGGACTCCGATTTGAGTGCAAAATGAACCTCATTGACGTCCTCGTCAAGCTGGAGACAGAAGAGGTGGCTGAAAACCTATATAAAGACAAGACAAAAAAAAACAGTGAAATTACAGAATTACTACACTTTAAGCACAGTAAAGAACTTCATTTCGGTTGACAAGACATGGTGAAAAAATCATTCCACAATCAATACTTCATAATTAACAAAACAAATATTTACATAGTCCATAACATCATCCAGGGGAAATGGTGAACGACCTAAAAATGTCTCTGCATAAAAAATAAATGAAATATTATACAAGAAAAAATAGGCTGACATTTTTTATAATACTTAAAATAGAAATTGTCATTTGAAACCGAAATGATGTCAGTTACCAAGAATGATATCATCTCATATTAGCTATATAACCGAGAAAGCACTAATAAAATATTAGGATGACCGGATCAGGTTAACCTTGGCCCATCTTTATAAAAAGCCCATTAAAACCGTAAATAGGTAGGCATTTTCAGGTATAGTTTTCATTGATTGCACATTTACTACTCATATCTACCTATCACTTGCATGTTGGAGTGCCTTATACAGACATACCACCTTCTTGGGCATTCGAATAAGAGCACATCTCAGACTAACAGAATTTGTGAAGGTCTTGGCCGAGTTAGAAGAGGAGACATTATCTTGTAGGACCATCTCGGCTCTTGTAAGTACAGAAGCAATATGTGTATAGCATTTGTAATCTTCAACATAGAGGCCATTCTACTACCCCAATATAGGATTAATTCTAATAGGTATATTGTACGTCCATCTCATTAATGCAAATCAAGGTAATTAAACCAGGATTCAAATCGTGAATCAAAAAGTAAATTCTTAGAATCGGATAGTTGAATCAAAAATTAAAATTTTAGAGTCGTAAATTGAATTATGTATAGAAGGCAAAAAGAAACAAATGTGAAATGAAAACATACAATGTTTTTCAACCTCATGTCTATATGCACTATCAAGGTTGTCATATCATATCCGAAATATTGTTCTAGAACTAGGTGGTTCGTCACGATCTCAATCTGAAAAGGCACCTTCATGGGTTAAGGGATGAAGGTACATAAACAACCCTTGACCTAGATATCTAAATGATACAGGATTTTAGAGCTCGGCCACTACTTGGCACACCAATATTCTAACCTAGTGTCTACTTGAATAGTAAGTTACCAAATCTGACATTGTTTGCTTGAATTGAGTGTCATTGTTGGCATACCTCCTAGCCATGACTAAGAACATTCAAGAAGGATTGAAGTCATCGGTGGAAGATGGATCTAAACTCTTTCTCTTAGGCCATCATGGAGCATATAGTAAAATAGGAATAATTTGGATCTTGTATTATGGGTCAAGTAGTCTAGGATTTCCTTTTGGGTCCTATATTTTAGATCAAGTAGTCTATGATTTCTTTTTGGACCTTGTATTTTGGGCCAAGTAGTGTAGGGTTTTTCGTCAACTTGGGCCAACAAAGGTCAACACCCAATGTTGACCCAAGTGGACGTCTTTAGTGTGTGTTGAAAGTTTTAACCTAGCTTGGTGAGCAAGTGTTGGACATCTCACCTGTGGTGAGTGTGGCCATGTGTCATGCTTTTATTGGAGAGGATTTTCCATAGATAGTGACCACATGTCTTCTTCCTAATGGAGAGGATTTTCACTTTGGTCTTCAAGTTAGGCCAAGCTTGTGCTTTTAGGGTTTTTCTTCTACAAATTAGAGATACCATAAGCCTATAAATAGAGGAGTTTCCACCCTCGTTTCTCACTTTGACATTAGTAATAAAATGTTGCCAAATTGTTGAGTCATTCATATTAGTCTCTAAAGTCAAGGCTAGAGCATTTCATGTGGCCTCCTCTAACCACCTTCCTTTAGAGTTGGTCCAACCTCTCTAAGAGCACCAAAAAATACCATCCCACCATCACCTAATCACCAAAACCCTGAGCATCATTACCCTTTATCCACCTTTGCTTCCACCATTACCCTTTATCCACCTTTGCTTCCACATCTTTACCATCACCATAGTCTCTCTTCTAGTTTGGAATTCCTTGCTTGGAGGAGGAGGCTATCAGTCATCGTATCTAAAATATTATCCACTTTAAAACTTGATGGTTTAGTCACAGTTTGTCCTTACCTCAGCATGTTAAGGTTGGGTCATACGACCCCACCCACTTTGGGTGTGACCCGCTTCTGTCCAGAATCACATGATTCAGTTCAATTCAGGCTGCAATTCAGCCTCTGGAGTGATTCAAAAAGCAATTTGCATTCCCAGAGGTCTCAATAGGACGAATCATATTGTTTACCTGGCACTAACTACACCTATGCAGATGATACCATTAATAAGATATAAGCATGAAAGCTTTCAAACAGCTGAGAATCTCTATCTGAAGACTTGGCCAACAGGACATTATTATATTGGGATCACAATTTTTATGTTAATAACAAGTATTGCCATTTCACAAAGGAAATATGGTCTGATACCCACTTAAACTCTGCAGAATAATTCCGAATTTATCTCAGCACCTGTAAATTTATATTAAATGATAACAATTCAATTCCCCAATAAAAAATAAG